AACAACAATCTTTTTAGGAGCCAACACTTCTCCCAGGCTGGAAGAGCTGCAGAGCTCTTTCCCTCACCTGGCAACTGATGGCTCCTCGAGATATCCCCCCTCCTCTACTGACAACCATGCCAATAACTCAGCTAAGAATGCGCTGAGCCTGAGAAGGAGGTAAGGAGACTATGCACCAAAGAAGTTGTAAGAATTGGTGAGTATGTGCTGGCAGAGGAGTACTCCTGTTCCTGGCATTGGGTTCTGAAGTTGCCTGATGAGGGAGGGCTGAATTGAAGATGGGATAAGTAAGAATCCATTGACCTTCTTGAGATAGGGAATTTAACATCCTGGCAAGGACCAAGGAGATTGGGCACACTTGCAAGAGTAGATCTTAACAGTCTGGAAGAAGCACAATTAAGACTGAGTGAAGCAGAAATTCCCTAGTTGGTCTGGCAGATACTTAAAAAGGCCAAGGAAAATGGCCATTCTGGAATGGGTGTTATATGAAACCAGAAGACCCACCGGTGGATATGTACTGTGGGCAGGCCCATGCCGCTTACCAAAGCTACCAGGACTGAGCTGGTGGGAGGGGCTTGGGCATAACTAAGAAGTTCAGTGTTGGCGCTCTTCTGCAGGTGAAGGCTGACCATGATACTAATAACTACAGATCTGGGCTCTCAGAGTGAAGCAGCACTTGGAGGAAATCATGTTCTTAGACTTCAGTTCACCAGTGCTGGAGGCCTGGAGGAGTGAGGGTGAGGAAACGTAAACCTGAGAGCATCTGATCATTTGCTGTCTTTTCCAGAAGTTTCTCTCCTTTGTATGAACTTTCCCGGATACTTCCAAAATTGGTGGTTTGGGTTGCTGAGTCTAGACTGGTGTGAAAAACAGGTGAACATTGTCTCAAGGCAATATAGGGCAAGGCAGGGTCCTGGGGGACCGAGTAAAACTTAAAAAAAAACTTCTTTCAGCTATTTGCTCATTACATTCTAGGCTTCAAGGGCCCATCCTTCCTACATACTCTGGTTCAAGATAGGCCTGTCTCCTGGTATCTCACTTTTGTTATGATTTCCTGGTCTAGAATTCATGTTTACTTCTTATTCTATATTTTATCTGATTTGGTTGATTTGGAGAAGGAAGTAACTTCCTAAGCTAGTTTACCATTTTGGTAGAAATAAAAGCCCAGATATACTCATTGTGGGAGACAGTGTGTGTGTATGTATAAAATAATATCATTTGGGGGGAAAAGGTGGGTAAATTATTTATAAGTGAACAGATATATTCATTTATATTTGTATACATAGAAAACAACATAATAGGTTAACCAGGAAGTTTGTTCAGAGTTTTCCATACGCTGTAACAGAAAAACCTGAACGAACTTATTGGCCAGCCCAATAAAAGCATATATAGAACTTTAAACTTGGTTATCTTAGAAAAAAATTGGAGAGGTATTGCCAGAGTTATCTCTGTACTGCTTTATGTTTAGAAAACAGCTCCTGTAATTTTATATCTTGAAATGAAACTACAATAAAATATATTTTAAAATAACGTGAACCAGGAGATGGCAGCATAGTAACACGTTTGGTCTAAGTTTCTTAGGTTTCCTGTTTCTTAGGTCCTCGCAACGTTTGAAGGAACATAGGTGTGGGTCACAGTGGTTTGTTGTTTTCATATTTTCTAGATTCATCTATAATAAATCTACATTAACAGATTGCACAATCCAATCCTTGTTTTTTTGGGTTGACTTCTTGCTTAACCTACAATTTGGTATTTCTTTTCTTTGAGACTAAGTCACTCTGATAGACCTCGTTAGTTGCTCCTCTTGCTTGGTTGCCATTAACATAGCTTTTGTGTTTACAAGAAATTTCCTATTGATTTAAAAAGTAACCAAAAAAAAAAAAAACCACCTCTCTTTGATTTTTTAATAAACTACTAATTGAGGAAGTTCTTGGATCTTTATCTAAGGGAAATAGGAAAGCCCCATTTGTATCTGTGGGTCCCTGTGGACCTGCTGTAGATCATACAGATCTCCTCTCCACTAGTGGACCAGCAGCCCCAGACGAAGGAGAGTCCAAAAGCGGTCATGCTTTGCCTGCCTAACCATACTCTCCAAAGGGTCTGCTACTTTCAACAGCAGTTTTAAAAAATACTTTTGGTTCTTTATGTAGTCTTGAGCATAGGATTCAGGTTTATATACAACGGTGTACCCATTGTCTAGAATACCCAATGTCTAATGCATAGAGATTTAAGAAATATTTGTTAGATGAATAAGTGATTATGTAAGTAGTTGCGTCAAATACTCTAGGTCAGTGATGTCCAATAGAACTTCTGCGACGAAAATGATGTATATCTGTGCTACCCAAAACGGTAGCTGCCAGTCATAGGTAATGATTTTATGTTTAAATTGTGATTTGTTTATGTAGCTGATGAATACTAACATTCATGCAGTTTCACCTGGGGCTTAAGAATATTTAGATTGCATATGTGTTTTATACTCTGATTCTTATGGAGTTAAATACATGAGTATAAAAGGGTTCAGGGTAAAGCCTTAAAACATATTTGTATCTACATCTTTCTGATTCCAGCAGAAAGGGGATTTGAAATATGGTTCTTGTTTAATGTTTTGTTTAGAAAAAAGGAAATGACCTTAATTGTTTAAAACAATGTGATTTGTATGACTGAAGAAATAAATTTTAATTGTATTAATTTAAATTAATTTATATCTAAATAGCCTCAACTGGCTAGTGTCTACTATATTAGACAATCCAGATTTTAGTGCATAGTAATGCTACATGATTCTCTATTCTTCACTCTACAGTGTTAGTGAATGATGGTCTGAGACATTCTGCCTCAACTCATTACTCTTTCAAATGGTATCTGTTTATATAGTCCAAGGATACTTAATCGATAAAAATTATTCAGGATTTAGTTATTTGACATTTATGGCTCTAGATACATATTTATATCAATATCTATATAATCTCTCTATATCTCTAGATATATAGATCTATTTATGTCTATATCTATCCATCCATCCATCCACCCACCCATCTGCCCAACCAGAGATGAATTATTTGCTTGTAGCAACTCAGTCTTCAAACTGCCTCCTTTATCCAACTAGTTTCAGTTCCCAAATGATCTTAATTTGGCTTGGATTGTTTAGATATGAGTCTTTAAATACCATCATGGTAAATGGCATTTTGGCATTCTCAGTGTATCAACATTAAATAAAGGATGAGAAAAAAGATATCTTCAAACTCATGTAAGGCAACTGTGGGTGCAAGATTTTTAATGATGACTCTTTTTCTCTATTGATTCCATGGCAGTGGTTCTCACCTAGGGGTGATTTTGCCCCTCGGGGGACATTTGACGATGTCTGGGTACATTTTTATTTGTTACAACTTGGTAGAGTTATCACTGGCACCTAGGGTACAGAGGGAAAGAAAGCTGCTAATCATTCTACACTGTAGAAGATTTGAGGCAAACCTCCCCCCGCCTCTGCCCAAAGAAAGAATTACCTGACATGTCAATAGTACCAAGGTTGAGAAACCCTGCCAAGTAGTGATGATTCAAAGATAATGAGTCTGAATTTATCATTACAAATATATTTTAATTTACAATATAATATTATGTGGGAGAAGAAAGACTCTTACTTGATATAAAACTCAAAAAGTCTTCACATGACAGTTATTTAATTAACTAAATTAATTGTAACAGGAGGGGTAGCCAAATAAAATTCAGATGCACAAGAAAAGTTTGAGTTTTGCTCAACAATAGTCATGTACAGTGGCACAATATATTCATTTAAATATACATAAAATGACTATATCATTATTAAACCATCCAAAGATGCTTTCTTATTTGAAAATTCTTTATAAATACAATTCTTCAAAGAATGACTACCATTTGTAACAGTAAATTTAAATATTATACAATAAAGTCTTTCCCAAACTCATATCAAACTGAATGAATTTCTGATTTTCTGTTGACTTCTCATATATTTATGAATACATAATTTATACTGGCATCTCATTCTGTGAGTCCCTTAAGTATTCTGAAGTTGAAAATAAAATGGTTTAAGAAATGAACTGGATTAGTAAGTAATTAAACAGAAGTGAAAAGTACAGTTAGACCAGAAGTGGAACATTTTCCATTTTTTAGAGCTGGAAAGTAACTTCTCTCACTAAGTCCTTGCCTCTTCTCATTCCCCACCTGACGAAAAGGCCAAGGAACTGCTTTTATTTTCTGAATATCAAAAGTTATTTTTACATAGTTTGAAACAAAATCCTGTCCTAGGCAATATTTCCAGTTCTCCTACTATCTGATCCAAGGATTTATTCATTGTTCTAAACTGAACATTAGTGTAGTTGTTTAAAGAGTTTAAAATATGCACTGTTGAGTGTAAATTTAAATGTCAAGATTTTCCAAGTTTCCGAAAGAGGTTAAATGAACATCTGAGGGCAAAGGGGAAAGGACTCTTGCAGTGCCATCTCTTGAGTCCTGGTTTCATGTCTAATCCCTCTCCATCATTTGCATTAGTGTCAGCCAAAATGAATCACCTGGATTTGTCTGGTGTAGTGAATCTACAGATTCTTAGTGAGGATTATTTGAGGAGGAAGCTAAAAACTATGAAGTCAGGGAAGGGCAGTATGCTGTGTCGGGAAAATAAATAACGAATACTTAGCCAGCTGGTACTTATCTGATTACACTGCTGGATTTTTCTGAAATGGAAAGTGTGTAGTAGAAACCAAAAGATGAGCCAGGAGGCAATCAGAGGCACTTAGCAGCAATGGCAGATCTTACTGGAGTTGACACTATGGTATATGCTTGTGGTCAGTGAGACACATCAGGTGATGTGAAAGAAAGCCTTCTTTCCTCACATGTTAGAGGAGAGCTGTCAGATCAGGCTTATTTGCATCTTGAATTTGATGACAGTATACATAGCAGCACATACTAAACATGATTTGCCAGAGGCCACACATGGAATTTACATTTTGGATGTAGAGGTGGTTATTACATTAGATGCCAGTTTTAGACTTAATCCAGTCCCGATAATGAGTCACTTTGGTATAGACTCCAGGCTTGTTTTCTTTTCCACAGTCCATTCCCCAGCTTACTATTCCAATAAGATACCAGATGTTTCCATCACGTGCTATAACCAGAGGTCCCCCAGAATCACCCTGGCAATTGGGAAGGAAAAAAAAGATCAATGTGATAAATAAAGGGGTGTCAGAAATATAAGTTAATCAGTATCTGGATGTCTAATAAATTAACATTTTAAGTTGAAATATGAAAAACAAATTCTGTTTTTATTCACCATTAATTTAATAGTTGAGATTCTTATTATCTGTTATCTGATTATGTCTGTTTACCTCTATTAATGTCTCTTTCTGGAGGATAATGCGACTAAAGTTAAGGTTTCAGCTTTATCCTTGTATAGTTGTTAGTTTTGCTTGATCTCAGCAGACAGCACAAATTGAACCTAGGTCTCAGCATCCATTTCTTACATAAATGTGACCTCAAGTGTCACTTCTGCCATGAAGCCTCTCCTAAATCTGTTAGGTAGGAATAATCTCATGCTTTGAATCTGGAATCCCCACCTTGTTCCACCAGTTGATAGGAAGGTGTCTGAGGCACTGTATCACTGTGTAGCAATAGATTTGAGAGGAGAAAGATAGGCAAAGGACATTCCAAATGAATGTGCATGATTGATTACACACAAGGTTTTGCTCCCAAGTGAACTGGTTTGAGAGTAGGAATCAAGAAGACTTCCCTGATATAGTTAAGCCTTTCACAAATGATTTTTAATTTTATCTTTTAGCAATGAGTCTATTCACTTAAAAGAAATATTATATGGAAACCCCTTCCAGATGTTTCTGTTAAATAAGAGAGATGATTCTGTTTGAAGTAGGCAGCGTTCTTAGAGTCTTGTGCCTTTAAACTCTCTTCCCATCACATACTTCTTAGCACACTCTCTGCACCCAGTGGACAGAGAGTAAGAACTCTGGTCTACCAAAAGCAAACCTGCTGGTCTACCAAAAGCAATTGTCCTGAGCTTCTTTCCCAAAGTCCTAAATCCTAATTTAGGTTCTTAGTATACTAGAGGTGAAGGAAGCAAGGGAACATGGATCAACAGAATGAGAACATCTGCTCTCTTATGGAATAAACTCAGATACAAGTCTCTATTCAATAGATTCCTTTTTTTTTTTTGTGGAGCTGAGTCTATTTCAAACATAGAAGTGCTAAACCGTTGGATTCAGTTTCAAATGTTACAGGTAGAAGGTTTAATTATTTATTTTCAGTCCTTGAAATAGCCATACTTTACAATGTATTATCTTTAAATGCTTAATGATTAAAATTAATGCTCTGTAAGGTTGAGGGAAATGCAGTTTATTTAATTAGTACGTGATTTGTGAGGTAACACTTTGAAATGAATGTATAGATATTTTCTCTCCTAAGTAGTATAATTCTATGTGATGTACACTGTTTAAGTTCAAAGGTTCAAGCACTGGTGTGATGATGCCGTGGAGACATCTGCAGGTCCCAGGCCACAGCGCCTTGCAGTTAGAGGGATTAGATACCTAACTACAGAGTCTGACTGTGGCTTGAAGCAGGGATTGTATGTTTCTGGTTTGGTTTCTTTTGTCTACAGGAAGTCCATTTCTTTAATCAGAGCCCACCAGTTTGCAGCTGGTGATCATTCTTTACACATGGCTCTGGGCTTCCCTGGTGGCTCAAATGTAAAGAATCCACCTGCAACGCAGAACACCTGGGGTCAATGCCTGCACTGGGAAGATCCCCGGGAGGAGGGCACAGCAACCCACTCCAGTGGTCTAGCCTTGAGAGTCTCCACAGACAGAGGAGTCTGGCGGGTTACAGTCCACGGGGGTGCAAAGAGCCGGACATGCCTGAGTGAATAAGCACCGCACCAGACAATACTAAACGAGGACTATTTCTTATGGCTCTTCTTTTCCCTGTAACTTTTCAGAAAAATTTCTAGTCATGCCTGTTTTTTAAAATTTTATTCAAATTTTTCTTATTTCAATTTTATATAGGAGTATAGTTGATTGACAATGTTGCATTAATTTCAGATGTACAAGAAAGTGATTCAGTTATGCATATACATGTACCTATGCTTTTTCAAATTCTTTTCCATTTAAATTATTACAGAATATTGAGCAGAGTTCCCTGTGCTATATCCCTTGTTGGTTATCTGTTTTAAATGTAACCCTGTATACTCTGCTATTTTCTCTCCACAAATTTAACTTCATAGAGTCACATAAAGTGACATTAGTCTATGTTCAGTCAAGTCATCTCTAGTAACAGATTCATTTTGTAGATTTGAATGTATTCTTACTTCACAGGCATCTAGTTTTCCTTTCAAGAATCCAGCACATATCATTCCTGATGATACAGCTCCACCATATACATGAACTTGATTACATATATCATTACTTATGATCTCTACTTCAACTTCTCTCAGAGTATTGGGAAAGGGACCTAAAGAGAAAAAATAAACAGATGAAGAATTTCCATATTATTGCATATGATAGCTAATTGTTGTTTCTTGCAAATGATGAACCAGTGATAAAATATTTTTCTAGAGATAATATCACTCTGGACTCGATGACAAGTGTTCAGATTCAAGTTTTATTTCTAGGGTATCTCCTATGTGCTAGGTACATTGACTCCTACTATCTTATTTAATCCTAGCTACCGTCATCACTCATTGGAAAAGATCCTGATGCTGGGGAAGGATTGGGGGCAGGAGGAGAAGGGGACGACAGAGGATGAGATGGCAGGATGGCATCACCGAATCAATGGACATGAGTTTGAGTAAACTCTGGGAGTTGGTGATGGACAGGGGGCCTGGCATGCTGCGATTCATGGGGTCTCAAAGAGTCGGACACGACTGAGCGACTGAACTGAACTGAACTGAACCATCATCAAAGATAGACGTTGAATATTCTTTTTTTCAGATGAGGAAACCAAAGCTCACCTGGTTTTGAGTCTTAGCCGTGATCACATAGTTACATGAAGGATAACATTAGATTTAAACCCAGGGGATTCCTCACCACCTGGGATAATCTGTGACAGTTTACCTTATCTGAAAATCTGCCTCATCACTTGACAAAGCACATCTCAGAGATATTGCAAGTTTGGTTCCAGACCACCACACTGAAGCTAATATCTCAATGCAGCCAGTCATACAAATTTTTTTATTTTCCAGTACATATGGAAAGTATGTTTACACTATATATAGTAAGTGTGCAATAGCATTATGTCTAAATATATATAAATGTATATGTATATATATATACATGTTAATTTAAAAATCTTATTGCTGGAAAATATTAACTGCTACCTCATAAAGACTCAGATAAAAGCTATACTTTGAGCAAGGACACAAACAAGACTGTAATACCATTATAAGAGTCTATATTGTTGCTTGTATTTTACTCTTGTCTGAGTCTTTTGCAACCCCATTTACTAGAGCCCACCAGGTTTCTCTGTCCATTAGATTTTCTAGGCAAGAATACAGGAATAGGTTGCCATTTCCTTCTCCACGGGATATTCCCAACCCAGGGGTGGAACTTGTATCTCCTACATTGGCAGGCAAATTCTTTACCACTGAGCCCTCAGAGAAGCCCGTAAGAGTCAGAAATTCAAGAGCAGATTAAATTATATGTAATAAATCCAACCAAGAGACATGAGAACTGGAAACTCAAATCAGGCTCTAAAGTTCTATCTTTGCAGTTTATTGTATATTATTAAGTGTAGTAAAATGTTATGTCTGTCAAATTTATAAAGTCTCAGGCTCAAAAACTCTTTCATAGATACGTGGATACAAAGGGCTCCTTTAATGTTTAGCATCAAGAACACCATTCAAATTGCTTGCTTAAGGTATTTCTGTTTAACTGTATTTCTGTACATTACAGAAAGCTTGTCATTATTACTGTTCACAAATTACATACTTTAAGAATCATCAACCATAACAGTCTCTGTGTACAAAAGGCAAGAAAAGAAAGAAAAACATTATATGCAAAGTTGTTGTTGTTTAGTCACTAAGTTGTGTCTGACTCTTCTGAGTCAGTAGCCTGCTAGGCTCCTCTGTCCATGGGGTTTCTCAGGCAAGAATATTGGAGTAGGTTGCTATTTTTTTTGAAAGGAAAGCTATAGCTACATAGATTCCAAAATACTCCATAAAGAAGATAATACATACAGGTACTGTTTAATAGTAGTTTTCATAACTTATTACCATTAGTTTAGTCACTCAGTCATGTCTGACTCTTTGTGACCCCATGGACTGCAGCATGCCAGGCTTCCCTGTCCATCACCAGGGGTTTATATCTTGTTTCTGCCATATTTTTCATGTGACATCTTGATTACATCTATTTTCTATATTTTTATTTTGTATCTTATATCTCTTCCGATGGGGGGAGAAGATCCTCTGGAGGAGGGAATGGCAACCCACTTCAGTATTCTTGCCTGGAGAATCCCATGGACAGAGGAGCCTGGCAGGCTAGGGTACAGAGGGTCACAAAGAGTTGGACATGACTGAAGCGATTTAGCATGCACACACGCATTCCAGTGGAGGATGAGTTTTCTTTTTTCACTTGCACATTTTTACTGAGATACTCACCATTTGCTTTTAGAGCTCCCCATCCAGTGACAAACACTTTGCTCTTAGGCAAGGCTTCAAAAGTAGCATCCGGGAGACAGACTCTGTGCACCTCATCCGAAAATACGACAGGGGTGGAGAGCTTCACCACAGCGATGTCATCGTCATGCTTATGGGCAGCATAGTCTTCATGAATGACAACCGACTGCACCTCTTGTCTCATCAGTGGGGGGCTTAGAGTTGTTCCAAAGCTAGCCGTCCAGCGTTTGGGGTTTTTGTAGCTGATCACAGATTAAAAGGATTATGGTTTGTTTAGATCATTTCTGATCAGAAGTTGCCCAGGACTCTGAATGAGCATGGACATAATGGGGGGAAGGGCAAATTGTTTAAAGTGGTAGTTGCTTGGGATCCTCCCACTTTCTTTGTGGCTTCTCCCTGGGACTCCTTTTTTCATTTTGTTGATAAACCTTCCCCATTCTAAAATAGCTTAAAATTACTTTCCTTGAGGGAAAGTTTGTATTTTTTTTTAAAGGAAACTTATTATCGCCAGTTTTGGTTGTAAAAGTAATTCAGATTAGTTGATGAGTATACAAGTAAGTAAAAATTAGACATATGTACCCACATGTACACACACATAAGTACTCATATCTGTACTTATAAATGTATGTATATCTATGGAGAGAGAAAAGAGAGAGGGAAAGAGGGGTGGAGACACTTTTATATTGTTTTCACATCCTTCCTTTTCAGTAAACATTTTATCCAGAATATTTTCCCATTTTATATGAATTTCAATAGGTTTATTGTATCTCTTTAGTATTCCCAAGTGGTTCACATGTTAAGTCACCAAAAAGCATACAAATAATAAAAGCACAGCACCAGATATTCATCTGGGAAAATCAGATGTAAGTTTGAGGGTTGGGATACTATTATCTGAGTTTTATTTTAAGAAATAAATTCAGTTGGAATTGAATCTATATTCAGTTGGAATTGAAAATATTCTAATTTTTTCCTATTCTTCAGTAATTGTTACTTCTTCTAAGTCTGCTGGACAATTATGTATACCATTTTAGGGTCTAAGATGACCAATGAAAACGGGATAACAATTACGGATGTGAAGGTGAGGAGATGAAATTGGTGATTTCTGTTATATATGGAGGGGCTGGCACAGGTGAGGACTTACGATTCAAAGCAATGAGCAGCAGTCAGGAGCCACACCTCACTAATCAACGTGGCTCCACAGAAATGGATGCCGTCAACCTGCAGGCTGGCTTGCCAAGGCCAATCAGCTTTCTTTGCAACACTACCATCGGCAATTCTTTCCATGGATGGAAACTCCCTCCCTAAACCACAACCTGTCAGAGGGAATTAGACGGTTATTTCCAGAGTTATAAATGTGTGTGAATATGCTTGGCACATTAAGATGGAAATATAACCTTGCCTTACCTTAAAAATTAATCAAAACTGCATGACAGAATAATAATTATTCACACTGAAAAAAGGATTAACTTAAAAAAATATTTGATACATCTTACAGCAATTTCACTTTAAATTTTTTTTTCATATTTTCTGAATCACATTTTTATAGGCAGAAGTTTAAAAAAAAAAAAAGTTTACCTGAGTGATTTCTGACAATTTTGAGTGTGAAATTTACAGCACTTAAAGCAGAAGAATACCATTTTTACTCTTCTAAAATACTTCTCTAATGTTACAAAAAATCATTACACTACAACAGCATAAATGTCAAAGTTCACATATTAAAGTTAGTGGATGTCATTAAATTCTAAGCAAAATCTTCTGCTTTAATAAAATGAGCCAAATAAAATCAAGTAAGATAAAATGAAAAGGGATTGTAGAAAAGAAGTCATCAGCAAAACTTTGTGGTAGAGCAAGTATGTCCACATAGACATTTCCAATTATTAATAGTAATTTTTTCCCCTTGGGGAGAGTTAAATTATGTATCCATTAAAAGTTGTTATATACTCTGGGAAAAAGTTTATATGGGAATAGTGATATTCCAAAGTGTTTTGGGTTCTATTATTTAATTTATATGGGCTTCCCAGGTGACTCAGTGGTAAAGAATCTGCCTGCCAATGCAGCAGATGTGGGTTAGATCCTTGGGTGGGGAAGATACTCTGGAGGAGGAGATGGCAATCCACTTCAATATTGTTGCCTGGAAAATCCCATGGACAGAGGAAACTGGTGCTACAGTCCATGGGGTCATAGAGTCAGACATGACTGAGCGCACATGCAAGCATCTAATTTATATACATCTCAATAATAATGTTGAACTTACAACTGTTCAGGATGTGCTCTGCTTGTACATTATTCATATCTGTGGGAAAAAAGCAAGGTGATTGGTCAGCAGTGGAACACTTTAAATACTCTTTCTACACGGCATGAATGTTTCTAATTTGGAGGACTTGAAGAGTCAATAAATTCTTAATTTAAATAAAATTCTACAATAAGTAGAGGCCCAGACATAGATTAAACTCTTCTTCTGACTATATGTGGCCTCTGGGAAAATCCTGTTCATAATTATAAAATCATTGGCATGGGGAAGGATATTGTTTGCCATGAAGGATGACTACATCTAATTAATTAATCCCACTTCAATTTATTAAAATATAAGTTAAACAGAAGAGGGTGTAGGTAGATATCACTACACACCTATCAGGAAGGCTAAAATGAGAAATAGTGATAACACCAAATTTTGGCAAAGATGCAGGGAAACTGGGTAACTCATATAATAGGAAATGCAAAATGGTACAGCCACTCTTAGAAATAGTTTGGTAGTTCCTTTTAAAACTAGAAATGTTTTTATCAACTGCAGTTGTACTCTTAGACATTTATTCCAAAGAATGAAGACATATTGATGAAGAAACTTGGACATAAATGTTTATATCAGCTTCATTGTAGTAGCCAAAAACTTGAAACTACCCAAATGCTCTTCAGCAGATGAGTGGTTAAACAAACTGGAATGCTATGAAAACTGCCTAGCAATAGCAAGGAACAAACTATTGATACAATAAGATGGATGAACCTCAAGCAAAATATGTTGAACAAAAGTGGCCAATCTCAAAAGGATACCAAGTATATAATTCTATTTATGTGACATCTATAAAATAATGCAATTACAGAGATGAAAAATGGATTAGTGGTAGTTGGGCTAGGTATAGATAGAGGAAATAGGTGTGGCTTTAAAGAAGTAACACTAGAGAGCCTTGACATTGTACAATTGAATATATTGATTCTGGTGGGAGTTATACAATATGTGATAAAATTGCCTAGAGCTATACATACAAATCCACACACAAATTAGTTCATATATTATTGTGGAATCTGAATAAATTCTGTGGATTGCATCCATTTGAATTTCTTGGTTTTATTTTTTTTATTTTTATTTTTTTAATTTCTTGGTTTTAATGTACTGCATTAAGGAGGGCTGGGGGAAGGGTACAAGTGCATGAGATTTCTGTATAAATTTCTTTGCAACCTCATGTAAATCTATAATTATTTCAAAATAATATTTTAAAAGCCTATCAAACATGCTGATAGAAAGTCTGAATTATCTTTCTCTTTTTTCTATAGAAAATAATATAAAAACTTTGATGTTTGAAGAGTATACAGCAAAAAAAAAAAAAAGCTAAGGGAAAAATAGTAAGATATTACAGAGAAACATGAAGTAACTAACAAATAAAAAAAGGGTGTTTTTAAACAGCTCAGCAAATAATGGGCTGAAGCCCTAAAAAGACATTTCTCCAAAGAAGACACACAGATGGCCAATAAACACATGAAAAGATTTTCAACATTACTTATTATTAGAGAAATGGAAATCAAAACTACAATGAGGTATCATCTCCCACCAGTCAGAATGACCATCACCAAAAAAATCTATAAACAATTAATGCTGTAGAACATGTGGGAAAAAGGAAACTCTTGCACTGTTGGTGGTAATATAAATTAATATAGCCACTATGGAGAACAGTATGGACATTCCTTAAAAAAAAAAAAACAAAAAACCAACAAGGAATAAAACTACCATATGACCCAGCAATTCCAGTGCTGGGCATATACCCTGAGAAAACTAAAATTTAAAAAGACTTATGTACCCCCAATATTCGGGGCTTCCCCAGTGTCTCTGGTAAAGAATCTGCCTGCGATGCAGGAGCCGTGGGTTTAATCCCTGGGTCAGGAAGATCCCCTGGAGAAGGGGAGGACAGCCCACTCCAGTATTCCTGCCTGGAGAATCCAGTGGACAGAGGCGCCTGGTGAGATACAGTCCGTAGGGTCACGAAGAGTCAGTCACTGCTGAAGCAGCTTAGCACACATGCATGCATGCATGCATGCATCCCCGATGTTCACTGCTGCGCTATTTACAATGGCCAGGGTATGGACACAGCCTAGATGTCCATCAGCAGATGGATAGATAAAGAAGTTGTGATGCACATATACAAGGGAGTATTACTCAGCCAGGAATGAAGGAATGAATTTGAATCAGTTGAATTGATGTGGATGAACATAGAGCCTATTACAGAGTGAAGTAAGTCAGAAAGAGAAAGGCAAATATCATATATTAATGCATATATATGGAATCTAGAAAAGTGATTCTGATGAACCTATTTGCAGGGCAGGAAGAGAGACTCAGACATAAGAGAACAGACTTGTAGACACAGTAAGGGAAGGAGAGGGTGGGACAAATCGAAAGAGTAGCATGGAAACATATACATTATCATATGTAAAATAGATAGCTAGTGGGAAGTTGTGTAGCACGAGGAGCTCAGCCTGGTGCTCTGTGACAACCTAGAGGGATGGGATAGGGTGAGGGGTGGGGGGGAGGTTCAGGAGAGAGGGAACATATGTATATTTATGGCTGGCTCATGTTATGTGGCAGAAATAAACACAGCATTGTAAAGCAATTATCCTCCAATTAAAACTGATTTTTAAAAAGCTTTCTTTTTTCTGAATTGCATGATATTTAGAGAGTTAATCAGCTTTTTAAAATTTTTGATGTGTTGTCACTCCTTTCCTATTCTAACTAACTATTCATTACCCAAAACAAAACTTAGTTGAAAGCTAAACTCAAAGCTTCTCCTTGAGCTTTATCATAATCCTGTAAAAATTACCTTTAAAAGACTAAGCTTAGCAGATTTCTGCTGGACTCAAGATATTCTCAGATAACTCTTTCAATATTTGTGTTTTGGAGCCATTTGTGTGTTTAGTTTCCAAGCTCTCTTTTTTTTAAAAGACACGTTAATCAATTCTCCAACTTCTCAGGTTCAGCATTGTTAAAGATATCAGAGAAAGTCCATTTAATAATACATTACATTAATTTGCTTGTTCTTGTACTTTTCAAAATTTTTACATTTTCCTAAAGAATAAGTTTCACTTACCGTTTTCATTTTGCAAAACAGGAATTGAGACACAGAGATCCAACAATTTATTGAAGGCTACAACTGATACTGCTAGGACATAGGTCTTCTGGTTTCTAAGTCTTGGGTTCTTTTCATTACCACCTACAGTCCTTCCTTGTATGCATTCCATGCATTTTCTCTTTATTATATGTATTTAAATGAGTTCTCTTACCCTGTAAAACGTGACTCTTGGTTTTTAAAAAGTTTATATATACAACCTCTTACTTTCTAAAGCATAGTTGTAAAACTCTCAAGTGAGAAAAGGAAGGATTCCAGGTTCCTCAGTGTTCTGTGGTATCTGTTAATGTTAAAACACTACTTTTGTTTAATGCTCACTTTTGAGACTCTGAATTAGTTTACAGAGTTAAAGACACAGTGTTTTGCAAATACCCTGTTCCTGTCCTGTGCTGAGTTCTGTGCTAATCTTGGGAAGGTGATTATGTCTACAGAAGACACAGTTCCTGTGTTCAAAGGACTTACCTCTCTTGTGCAGAGAAGTAAATTTTTAAAAATAATATATGGATTAATTTTCAAGCACCTTGATAAGGACAGAAGTGTCTCAGGATAAATTATGAATCTTAGGAGACCTTCCCATGGGAATGAGGAATGTCTTAATAGTAACTTGACAAACCTAGACAGCATATTAAAAAGGAGAGACATCACTTTGCCAACAAAGGTCCATAGAGTCAAAGCTATGGTTTTCTGGTAGTCACGTATAGATATGAGAGTTGGAACATAAAGAAGGCTGAGCGCCAAAGAATCGATCCTTTTGAATTGTGGTGCTGGATAAGACTCTTGAGATCCCTTGGACAGCAAGGAGATCAAACCAGTCAATCCTAAAGGAAATCAATCCTGAATATTCACTGGAAGGGCTGGTGCTAAAGCTGAAACTCAAATATTTTGGCCACCTGATGCGAAGAGCCACCTCATTGGAAAAGACCTTGATGCTGGGAAAGATTAAGGGCAGGAGGACAAGCAGGCAGCAGAGTATTAGATGGTTGGATGGCATCACAGACTCAATGGATATGGATTTGAATAAACTCTGAAAGATAGTGAAGGACAGGGAAGACTGGCATGCTGCAGTTCATGGGGTCACAGGGAGTTGGACAAGACTTAGCAACTGAACAACAACAACAATGCCTAATTAGTTCAAACAATTCCACTAAAATCTTTTTTAAAGTGTAAGAAATACTACTATATTTGGATTATCATACTATCCTTGTTTTACAATTGTGTCCATACTAACCAAAGGAAGTGTTGATTGTGTGGAGATTTGTATATTATCAAGTAATTGAGAGACTTACAAATAAAAGTCATTTAATTTTATGGTTAAATAAAGATTTCTCTGTAGAAGAGAAGACTGTTAAAATGATAAACTGTAACAAAGAAAGAAAAAATGGTATTTCTTACCTTTAAGATAGGGCAATGAAGTATCTATCTTCAAGAAGCTTTCATTTAATTTCAACTTCTGATGCAAAATGCTCTCAGCTTCTCTTTTTCTTGTGCCTGCATTGTTAGAGGTAAACTGAAATTTGAGCAATACATTTATTTTCAAACCATTATTACTTGGCCTGAAAAACAAAAATATCAGAATAAATGAGTGAGGATGTAGCATAGTAGTTACTATTTTATAACTTATTACATAAATATAGTTATATCTTCAAGAAAATACAACATAAATATTTTATACTCTTCATTGTCATGGATGTTTTCCCTTTCTGCATCATATAGGTGTTAATACCTGAATTACTCCTAGTTTGTAAAACTTGATCATATTTAGGGAGGGGAGAGTATCTGAAAATGGTAAAATCTTTTTTTTCTGGACAAATAAAAGCACTTGTTAAATTCATCAACCTTGTATTTTATCCTTGACTTTAAAAAATCCATTATATTTGTTTATTGCTTAAAATGTAAGCAAAATTGAGAGGAGTTTTTAATGACTGTAAGAATCTTTAATTGAAATACAAAAATCTTTAAAAGGACAACCAGTAGAATATATTTCATCACTACCCAAGTTACAGCACTCTCTCCCTAAATATACTCTGTAAAGGAGAAATAACAATTAAATGTAATAACATTAAACTATTTTTACTCTCAGTATATCTTAATTTTTTACATCATATCCAGAAAGCAAATAATTGAAGAAAAACTAAATAATACAAAGTTGCCTTTTCATCAAAGTAATTAGCTATAATTACCTAACATTGAAAACATGAGACTTGATGTAATGATGATTTAAACTGGATCTTTGAAATATCTCATCTATCTGAGAAAAGAAAAAAAAGTGTAGAACTTTGTTAAATATGAATTTTTCACATTTCAGTATATTACAAAAATGCTTGTATAAAATGTACAGTGATTCAAATAGCATTTACTTCTAAGTTTGTTTACAGCTATGCCCAGAAATCTCATTTGGGCATACTCTTGTCATAAAGGTCATCTCTGTAACTGAATGTTGGTATTTGAATAAATTGTCACCTGGTCAAAGATGAATGATAAAAAGAGTCAAATGAAGTCACATATTTCAACAGCCAGTACAGAGACTGAATTTCATTGAAAACTTGTTATGAATGAACTTAACAACCACTATCAGTAAAACATAATTATCATCCCCATGAGTGTGATTAAAAATAAGCTTTTTAGGCTTTGGTGAAAATTTATAGGCTGTGTTTTGAAACTGGTAAGTGGGGAAGAGAAGTAAAATGTGTATTTTGGGGAACACTTTTTAAAAATTAATATACTTATCAAGAAAAAGGCATCAAATCTTTACCTAGAATCATATAACAAAATACTATATATTCTGCACCAATTTTTTCCCCCTAAGTATTTGCTTAGGATGTATTTTTGGGAAGGCACACCAATCCCACTCAGTTGCATCCTTCGACTCATTTCATCAGCTTCTGCTTTTGGTTGGGAAAGATCTAAAGAAGTATTTCTAAACCTGGCAAAGATCTGCCATCTTTGGTCAATGCTATACTCTGTAGAAGCTGTGTATAAACTGAAGTCTTTCACTAGCTCAGTTAAAGAGCTAGTCTGTGTGTTTCTGTGGTATATTTTCGGGAATAAAATGTTCAGTATAAGTTGCCTAATGGGAAATGTATCAGGTCATGCATACAGTAGGTGCTTACTATATTGTATGTGGTAATATTTGTACGTAAGTTATGTCTCCAGATAAATCGAATATATTTTTGTGTGTGTGTATTTGAGCTACCTAGTTGTCTCTTGGGCTTATGTTGTTCAGTATATGGTACAATTATCCTTTGTCCAATGTATTGTTTCAATCTTCCTGAGATAGATAGTTAGAGTCACCAGGATTAGCAAATAAAAATATAGTTAAGCTTTAATTTCAGATAAACAATGATTTTTTAGTGTAAGCATGAAATATATACTCATGAGAATCTGAAATTAAAATCTAACTGGGCATTCTTTGTTTTTCTGGCAACCAAAACATAACTGCAATTTTGTATGTTCTCAAATTGCCTCTTACTATAATTTAAACTCCTTCACAATAATATTGTCAGGGTAGGAATGATGGCAGAAAAGCTCAGCCTTACCTCATTACTGATTTTTTGTTTCAGGTCTGTCCTATTTTTTGAATGTTCCACTGAAAAATCAGGATTATATTTAATACTAGGGATCTGGAAGGAAGTTTGGTAATAATGAATCTTCTGATCTGGAAGGGAAAACAAAAATGGATCATTTGAGTTGTATACCTATCAGAAGGGATGATATGCAGAAAACTCCTGTAACTGACAAGTTGTTGGGAATTAAACACAACAGCTGTAGCCAACACTGCCTTTAACCCTTTATTAAGATCACACATTCTCATGATCACAAGGTTGTCAGTTTTATCCTGACACAATTACCACCTGTTAGTGGTAATTTATAAATTTAAGCTGTTAATTAAATAATAATAGTAGAATGTATTATATTCACAAAGCTGACCTCAAAGTTAGAATTGCTACTAGAATAATATTTTGCTCTCAGTACATGAAATATTATTAAACCATACAATAACATATGACTCTACTGCACTGTTTCAGAGAAAATATTATATGAACCATGTCAAATTTTAAATGCTAGAACTAATTTTTACACATAAATTTTTACATTTCCCAATGTAGACAAAGTTATGCAAATAAATATCTAATTATACAAAGTATGCATACATCTATATAAACTATTATTGCAATGAAAATTACATCTTAAAATATTAGAAAAGGGTTTCTAAAATGTTAAGATTTTAAAATCAATTGTCTAGATCTTTAAATTTTCAAAATAATGCAATCAGATTCTTACCAAATACCAAAAAATAAACAGGGAGACCGATGATTACTGCTAGAACCAACACAACAGCTGTAGTAATAAGGGCAATCATCCATGGTTTCAATGAATGTGTTCTTCTACCCAGAATTGGTGGCCTTTTGAGAAAGAGTTGTATGTTACAAACAAATAGAACTTAAACACTAGAATCTCAATTTCACATAGCTTTGGTATAGAATATTTTTTTCTGGATTTCATCGTTAGCCCTTACTGCACTTAGTAACATTTAAATATATTTTTCTATAAAAAATTAGAAAAAGTGCCATTAAAGGTCTCATTGGCATTTGACTCTACATTTTGATTTTTAAAAGTCAGAATTGTACTATAGTTGACTACTGTTTCCTTTGTTTCTGGTTCACTGTGCTGCTGCTGCTGCTGCTGCTAAGTCGCTTCAGTCGTGTCCAACTCTGTGCGACCCCATAGACGGCAGCCCACCAGGCTCCCCCGTCCCTGGGATTCTCCAGGCAAGAACACTGGATGGGTTGCCATTTCCTTCTCCAATGCATGAAAGTGAAAAGTGAAAGTGAAGTCGCTCAGTCGTGTCTGACTCTTCGCGACCCCATGGACTGCAGCCTACCAGGCTCCTCTGTCCATGGGATTTCCCGGGCAAGAGTACTGGAGTGCGGTGCCATTGCCTTCTCCATCACTATACTAGATGTTCTGACATATTTTTGTTTTTGTAAATGAACTAGTACCTTATATTTGGTTTATGTGCCTCAAATCATATGAGCCTCAAAGAGTGAGGGCTTCTGGGACGCTCCTCTAGTTCTAGCATGAACAGTCAGACTCAGATTACTAAATCCTCAAAGTTGGATATTGGAGGAATTGGCACTAGGACATGGGTTTTGGGACTCTTTCACACTTCTTAAACCCATAATCCCTATTCATAAAACAAGTAATCTATAATGCCGGAGAAGGCAATGACACCCCACTCCAGTGGAAATGACACCCCACCCCACCCCACTCTTGCCTGGAAAATCCCATGGATGGAGGAGCCTGATCGGCTGCGGTCCATAGGGTTGTGAAGAGTCAGACACGACTGAGCGACTTCACTTTCACTTTTCACTTTCATGCATTGGAGAAGGAAATGGCAACCCACTCCAGTGCTCTTGCCTGGAGAATCCCGGGGGGAGCCTGGTGGGCTGCTGTCTATGGGGTCACACAGAGTCGGACATGACTGAAGCGACTTAGCAGCAGCAGCAGCAATCTATAATGCATATGAAGAGCATCTGAAATAGGACAGGTTGAAGAATGGAACTATAAGGAAAAAATAATATGTGAACCAAAATGATATCATTAATATGATAAACAAATAAATAGTGATAGCTTGGCATTTTGGACCAAGGAACTATGTGGTGTGAGAACCACTGGTGTTATATAATAAACATCTATTTTATAAGATGGTAAGATTTTAAACTTGTGACTTTTATAGGTGATGTTGCACAGGATAAGGACAGATTTGTTTGAATAAATAATCAATTTAAAGAAAAATATTAAGATAATAATATTGAAATATATTGAAAATATAATGGAAAGAATGAAAGTAGAATGCAAATGACTGACATTTGAGAAAATTTTGTGGAAGTGGGAAAATGTGGCAAAGCCTGTCTCCTTCCTAATATCAGGGCCCAGAGTCTAAGGACTAACTGAACAATGACAGAGTTGTGATGAACATGGATTGTCTGGGAGGACTTAATCTATGGGAGAACTGAACAGGAATATCCTTTAGAAAGTTAAAGGTACCAATTCTTGTTCTGTTAAAAATTACACATGGAAAAGAAGAATAAGGAATTTTCTTCCCTGGAGTTAGTAGCTAATGGCAAATAGGCCCCAGCTAAAAAATTAAAGATATTAACTGAGGTGTGCCTTTTGACATCAGTGATCTGGAAGGATTAGGGATGCTTGATGCTTTCGAACTGTGGTGCTGGAAAAGTCTCTTGAGAGTCCCTTGGACTGTAAAGAGATCAAACCGGTCAATCCTAAAGGAAATCAATCCTGAATATTCACTGGAAGGACTGGTGCTGAAGCTGAAGCTCCAAAATTTTAACCACCTGATGTGAAGAGCTGACTCACTGGAAAAGACCCTGATGCTTGGAAAGACTGAGGTCAGGAAGAGGGGGTGGCAGAAAATAAATTGGTTAGATAGCATCACTGACTCAAGGTCATGAATTTGTGCAAACTCTGGGAGATAGTGGAGGACAGAGGAACCTAGTGGGCTGCAGTCTATGGGGTTGTAAAGAGTTGGACACGACTTAGTGACTGAAAAACAACAGCAACAATGCATCTTTGTATCTGGGCAAGAAGATAGAGGCAGTTTCCCCACTCAGAACCATCGACCTGACCTCTTATAAGTATCTCAGTTCAGTTCAGTTCAGTTCAGTTCAGTTCAGTCTCTCACTTGTGTCCGACAGGAGCACCAAATCTGAGTTCTTCTGTGTTTCTGGAAGGATCTAATGTTAAAGTTACTCTGGCCTTCTACTCTTTGGTTGGTGGGAAGAGTATTACATCTGCAAACATTTGAAGTATCTATAAAAGAGCTGGGATCCTGCTTGGGCCCAGGCAAGTGCTGGTGAATGTATTCATCACGTTTATTAATAGAAGACCATGGGTAATCATGAACTCAGTTGAGATTTGCTGAGTTTCTTCTGTGTGCCACTTTCTGCTTGAGACTCAAAATTGAATAATATATAGGTTCCCATCTTCAAAGAATGTGTGATCTAGAAACATATTAAGTAACTACCATAATAGAAATGATAAATGTCATGATGGGATTATGCCTGGTACGCTATGGAAACTGAGGGGATACATGGTTTTGCCTTAGAGAAGTTGTCTTGTGAACTGCTTCTTGAAGGCTGAGAAGGAAGAATTGGCAAGAATGGATGTATCACAGGCAGAAGGGATAGTATAAATTAAGGTGACATGAGACAAGGACAAGAATGTCTCAAGAACATACTTGAGAAAATAGAGTTCATAAATGAGAATGGAGGTGAAGTTAATTAGGAGAGAGCAATTAGTTAGCTTGGTGGATATTTATTGAGCAGTACTATGCATGGAAATGGCTATCCACTCCTGTATTCTTGCCTGGGAAATCCCATGGACTGAGGAGCCTGGAGGGCTATAGTCCATGGAGTTGCAAAGAGTCAGACATGACTGAGTGACTAACACTTATTTACATATCTATGAAATGCAGGGGAACATAGAAAAGAATCTTCAATATTCCCCTCTAGGAACGTACAGTATTCTAGATGAGGAGCATAGTGTAACACATTGTACCAGATTTGCAGAGCATTTCTAATAGAGTTTCAGAGAAGAACTAACGATTTCTCCTTGGAGGAAGTAATGGTTGAAAAATAATAATAATGATAATATTAATAATAATATTATATATTATAATAATATAATAATAATGATACTTTTTAAAACTTGAAAATGCCAGATCCATCTTCTCATTCTTTCACCCTTTGTATTAGATATAGAAAACCATTCATAGAGGGAGATAGTTTTGCAACAAAATTCTCATCATCAAAATGATGTGGTTTCTTGTTGGACTGTTTGAACTCCAGAAAATCACTGTGACTTCCTTACCATTTTATGTAAGGGTCATAAGTGAAAAATGGTTTGAGTTGGTTTCCTTAACCATGCAGAAAGTGGAAGTGTTAGTTGCTCAGTTGTGTCTGATTCTTTGTGACCCTATGGACTGTAGCCCACCAGGCTCCTCTGTCCATGGAGTTCTCCAGGCAAGAACACTGGAGTGGGTTGCCATTCTCTTCTCCAGGGAATCTTCCCAACCTAGGGATCGAACCCGGGTTTCCCTCGTTGCAGACAGATTCTTTACTGTCTGAGCTACTAGGAAACTATGCTGACACACTCTCAAATATTTATTAATATATGTTTTTGTTTTAAATAAAACAATGCTTTATTCCTGATTTATTTTAGTTCTAACCCAATTTTATCTTAAACATTGACTAATTTCAATGACTAATTTCAGTGGTTGTTCAATATTGGTAGAGATTATACCTCATAGGTTCTCGGTAGATATTTGTTTACTAAATAAAATATTGTGTTATTTTATTTAACCCTAAACTACTTGCAACAAAAAAAACTATTTTTAGCAGAGAGTTTTGCTAGAGATGAATTACTTCAAACATAGCAGGAGGAAAAATCAGATTAAGCACTTATTTGGAATCAAGATACAATTCTACATTTTGTACTTAAAAATTGCTAATGGGCAGCTTTCTCCTCTTCCCTTCTTGGTTTCTCCTTCCCCCTAACCCTTCAGATACAAAGAATTTCATTTTGGTCAGACTGTTACAATAAGATGACTAAACAGGTTCACTGTAGTTAGGAAAATTCAACCTTAGAAAAGCCTTTGGCATCCAAACAAAAGAAAAATTTAAGTGATCTCACCTTTGAGGCATTCACATCAAAGTGAAGATGAGCAGTGACAAAAGCTATCCTTTCAGCAGGCTTTAGAAAGCCTTTCACAAAGAGTCAAAGTATTTTTGAAAAGTGTCATCCTTTTAATCCCTCCTCTTGATGTTGTTCAGTCATCCAGTCGTGTCCGACTCTTTGCGACCCCATGAACTGCAGCGCGCCAGGCCTCCCTGTCCCTCACCACCTCCCAGAGTTTTCCCAAGTTCATGTTCATTACATCGGTGATGCCGTCCAGTCATCTCATCCTTTGACACTCTCTACTTTTGTTTAAATTCTGTGGGGGCTTATCATCCAGACTGGCTTCCCAGGTGACACTAGTGGTAAAGAATCTGCCTACCAATTCAGGAGAGACAGGTTTGATCCCTGGGTCACGAATATCCTCTGGAGGAGGAAATGGCAGCCCACTCCAATGTTCTTGCCTGGGAAATCCCATGGACAGAGGAGCCTGGTTGCAAAGAGTCAGTTGTGATTTAGCACTTACAGACACATTATCCAGACTATCTCATGGGTAAGTATTCAACCAAACCTCAGAATAGAAAGAACTTATCCTTCTCTTTTCATTATCAATCATTCCCTTTCAATGTACAACTTTACTAAGGTACATCTTCAGGTTATTTCACC